ATTAACTTTATGCATTAGTAATTAACTCACGAGTAATCGCGAGTTAAATATTTCATGATTCGAACCACGATTATTACGAATTATTCGAATCACGAGTTGACGAGTCCAGTCACTAGAAAAGAGTATAATTGGATTTTGGTAGGCTTATATTTTCGATGATCCGATTTCACCATGATCCGCGACATTACATTGATATGTAAAATGTACTGTCTTCCTTTTTGATAACAATAACAATTAGATTTAAAGTTTTTGGTAAATTTTTTTTTAATTGTCTAGAATTTTATTCATTTTACAATAAATATATATATTTGGTTAGTAAAAATTAGTATAAAGTTTAAATCCGGCCTTTTTTTTAAAAAATTCTTTAAGGATCTATGATTCTTTTTTTTTTTATTTGTGTGATGTAATTCTTTTTGCTTGTTGTATTTATGTTTTATAATGTTGTTTGCTGTGTAATAGTTTGTATGTGAGATCGGCAGGCATTATTTTTTCCAGTAAAAGAAAATTTGGTTTTCTTGAGAAGCCTGTCAACGATAACTTCATGATCGCCGCGTGTTAGATTTTCCAGTTAGCCGTAAGTATGTGCTAAGGATGGCAAAAGTTTTTTATTACGTAAATAAAAACAGGTGATGATTTTGGTCTTAAATTTATTCAAATCCATATTTAACTATTCGGACTTTAATCATCACCTGTTTTAAATCGGTGAAAAAATGTTTAGGTTTTTAAACACAAAAATTGGTGACCTGATGCAAGCGTTACAATTCATTTTACCGATATCTTATATTTTCCTTTTTTTCATTGGACCTATTATCGTTATTTAACCCTACTCAATTTTGTTGGATCGTTTTGGTCGTGTATGTACCGGTTTTTTGCTATTTTTGGCTTGTAGTGCTTAGGTCTTTCCGGTTTTTTTATACACCTATTTATTCTTTAATGTGAGATCGTCAAGATAATTTCCTCGTAATTATTTAAAAGGAATGATCTACACCTGCCATTTTTTATAATACTACGGTACTAGATGTTATTATTAGATCGTTCAGTTCATTCATTCTAGTACTAAGTACTAGATGCAAGATTTCGCTCGCTGTATATGCTGAATGTAGTATATTTAGGTTTGTAAATTTTCATTTTATCTGTTTTTTTGTATTTTAAATAAGATTTACTTGTCAAATTTTTCGGGTAGATGATTTGATAATCGTTGATCGTCAAAGACCAAAAAGAAAATTCGTGACGAAAGGTTTTGATTTTTTTTTTTTTTTGTATTCAATGCTTGTGGGTGTAGTACGTGACTGGTGAAGCATACCAGGAATGGACAATTGCAATATGTACACTAAAGTTTTTGAAAGAATGCTGTTTTTATAGGCATAAGTCAATATTTTTATTAGTAATTAATTCAAAATATTATAAATATGGGTCCTGTTCATTGCTTAAGAATCAAAAATTCGAATCGCAAATACAAATAAAACTAGTTTTTTTAAAAAAATGTCTTGCGAACATATTAGCGAATTCAATTTGAACACTTTCAACAAAAGAAATAATTTTCGAGATTTGAGAGAACAAAAGGATGATAGAAAGAAAAGGCGAAAAAAACCATTTCCGAACTTTTACGTGCTTGTTAATTTGCATAATGATGACTAAAAAGTCACAGAAAGACGAACTGAGAAAATCGAGGTGATCGATCTAACGGTTGTTGATGAAGATGTGACGAAACAATCTCTCATCGAAACAGCTAAATCGATGGTTTCCGAAATCAATGACGACATATTAAGGATTATCTTTAAACATGTTATCGATGAGACATACTTAAAGACGAAAATGTGGGAAAGGAAGCTGGAAACATCATGTGTACTATTAGAAGATTCAACATTATTTTCACCGAAGTTTTCTTTAAAGAACTCGATTACTACTTCAAAAAAATGAGAGTTTTTGAAACAGTGCACCTATCACAAACCGAAAATGAGGTAACCTCTGAAATTAATATCGAAAACACAGAACGCTTGGAATCACACCCGGAAATTAAAAAAATGTACAGAAGTGAATTTCTACTAAGAGTTATGACCAAAAATAAATCCTTAGAAAATATTTTCCTGAAATACAAATATCAAGCTGCCATCGAGTATATTAATATGATATTAGAAGACATAATGATTAGAGACGATTTTGACAGTCGTATATTTACCATGATTAAAAAAGTCTTTTCGCTCGAAGCACTCGAAAAAAACGGATTACAAGATATATTACGAAAAAAATACCAAACAAAAGTAATATATGAAATAGATGTAATTGAATTATTAAATTTGTGGTGTGTTGTCAATAATTTCGTAAGCCTATTACACGATTTAAGTTCAGAGGATTTATACTTTGAATTCATCGAAAGTGGTTTATTACGCGAACTTTACAATAACTTTCAGAAAGATTACGAAGAACCACTCACCGCCGAGAAGTTTATCGATTCAGTAAAATTCTATCTAGATAATACATCAGGTTTTAACGCAAATTACAAAATATTTTCTTGTTTACTTCCGAAATACGTAGCCAGAGAATTCAAAGAAATTATGTATAACGTCATTATATAATACCGCATATTTAATTGTTAATAAAGTTATACTTTGAAAAATACGATCAATAAAACATTCAAGGAATAAAATAATTTTTCTGTGGACCAGAAATATGTTATTAAGGTTTATTGACAACCTTTTCAGAAGAAGCACATGGTATAAAACGTGTATTATCCTTGGGTATATTGTGAGACATCTGTCCTAATTACTCCTAATTAGGAAAGAGGTTGATTATAAAATGAATTCATTCAATTTCAATTAACAAATTTTAAGATATGCAGTCCTAGGCAGCTGATTTTTGCGACGTAAAATTCGTTGGCTTTTATTGTGAAATATGCACCCCTAATTAGGCATGAAGTTGATTCTTAAAAGAATTCATTCAATTTCAATTGACAAATTTTGAGGTTAAAAATTTTTTATAAAGAATGTTATGATAAGAATTTTTTGTTAAGAATACATAGGTCTGCCAAACTGAAATAGAAGATTGAAGTTGAACTCTGACAAAGCTCTAATTCAAAATTGTACTTTATTTACTATTCAGTAGGAATTATTAGTATTTTCTTTACATTCTTGTTATTCTTTTTGTTTCCACCGCTCTCACGAATTCTTTGAACTTGCACAACAGATTTCTGTGGCATTACTTGGTTGATTTTTGCCTTTTACAGTGAACAAGTGCAAAATACATAGGGCGGCATTCACAGTTTACGTAAACCCAATAGTGTATTATGTTTTAAACAAATTGAAAATTTTTAAGACCGCATAATTGTGTTTGTATTGTCTTTAAGATTCCTATAACGATACTGATTTAACGTAAATTGTGGATGCAAAAATAAATGTCTTCAATTTGATTTGTTTCAAGTTAGAATGTTGATTAAAACTTCATATTTGATAAAAATAATAGTTACAAAATGACAAATCTAAACGTAACACAAATCTATGAAGTTTAACTTATCAAAGAAAATTTAACAAATCAAGTTTTGTATTTTAAAACAATACATAAATATAATTCTTTATCTTAATTTTTGTGACAAATAAAATTCAATACTTTTAGGTTTAATAGTCACTGAAAAAGAATTATTTGTCACTGAAATTAGAATTCAAATTGAATTATAATCTAATGTATAATATTGGTGAAATAAGTTAATTAGTTGTAAAGTGTAAAGTGCCTTTTTACGCGTATTCTAAAAGATCGACAACATTTTTTGTGATGGATCTTTTCAGTAAACGCCGCTCGTTCTCTGAAGTGCTGTCATAAATCTTTTTTGATAGTTTTAAATATCACTTAGATCTTTTTCGAAGTTTAGTCACCAATGTTATATGGTTCGTATTCAACTAATTTTGCAGAAAAATTTTTGCATTGATAAACGCCTTTCTGATATCTTCCCTGTGATTGATGGAAAATGATTCGTCATTGAATTGATTATTTCATTTTCTCAATATCATATCTTGACAAAAGATCGATTTCATTATACAAAATTTTCAATTCTTCTATGAAAAAATCATCCCTAAACAATAATTAATTAAATTACGAATATTATAGAAGTTTTTTCATGTTATATGTTTCACTATTTTAATTTATATGTTTTTTGTGATCGAAAATTTTTGATTCTTCAACATTTCAACATTGAACTCCTACTATTACAGTACAAGTTAAAAATAACTATTCGATCAAAAGACTCTAATAGTGATGCATAAACACCATATGTTAGACTAATGAAAACAAACCATAGTAAAACCGTAAAGCTGTAAAAATAACTGTTCGGTTAAAAGACATATATAGACTTTAAAGTAACGCGTAAGACTCCATTTCTTTGTTTTGGCAATTTTGTATAGAATTCCAAATTAAGTCTATATAGTTAGCCACTCGGAAATGCTCAAGAAGTCATTGTTTTAAAATCATTTAAACGAGTACGCGAAAGTAAGTAAAGATATTAAACAAAGAAATGGAGTTAAAGGATTGGAGAATTGGAGAATTGGACCAAATTATTTGTGACGCGTTTTCTAGCATAAGAAACCATTCGGTTAAAATAACATATTAATAAAGCATAAGATATAAATTCTTATTTTAAATAAGTTTTCATTTAAAGTTATATAGAATTTTATATAAAAAGGAAAATTCGGTGTAATAATGAAATAATGAAACACATCTTTTACAAAAAAAATGTCATTTATAATAAATTTTAAATTTATCTAACAACTGACACGCATATTAAATGAATACTTATTTTTAAAATAACTTACCAAAGCACTGCATGTATTACGTTGCTTATATGACGCATTAGTGAAAATAATTTCTTTATTGGAAATAGAAAATTATTCTTGCTCAAGTTGTACTGTTTCAGAAATCATTTATAAAATGAATAATCAACACAAAGCAACTTGCGCCCATTCCATTTGAAGCAGAGTCTGGTAATTCGATTTCTCCTTACTCACATTTTGTATCATGCATTATTTTTATTTAAACACCATGAAATCTAGCGTAAAGACAAAAATACTACAACCTCTCTGAGCAAAATAAAAATTCAACATGTTTACCACCAAATGTGGCTACGAAAAATACTGTGTAGATGACGAACTTCCATCATAAGATGAAATTTTCAAAAAATTAAATCACAATCACAACAATCACTAAGTTATATTGATCATTGATGATTCAGATGACGACCTGAAAGTTATATCGATCACTGACTCAGATGACGACCTTCCATCAAAAGATAAAAATTTATTCAAAAAATTAAACCAAGGAAATCACAACGTGAGAACACAAGAAGTTATATTGATCATTGATTCAGATGACGATGAACTGTCTATCATGGCTGCAAATAATAATGATGATGATTTTACGTACATCAACAACGATCGTTCTCTTAGAATCAGTAAGAAGATTATACGAGACAAATTAAACAAATTGAAAAAAAGATTAGAATCTGAAAAGGTTATCAACCATATCATCGATATATGTAAAAATAAAGAAAAATACAAGCATCACAAAGAGTACAAACCATCCAGATTACAATTCTGCCGTCCCGCCAAAGTACTCAATATCGATGAATTAGTTTCTGGATATTATGGAATGAAAGGGTTTACAATTATGTTTAACTATTTGATGACAAACACACAAAAGTGGCAACCTTATGTAAGAGGTATAAACAAACAACATTTCATGTCATTTCCGAATTGAGTGTTGGGTTCATAATGGAAGATCTCGAGGTTGATTACAGCACCGCTCTAAAAATCAAGAACAAGAATGTTAATTACGGCAATACCCATTTTTTCGGAGACAGTAATGACGAAAGTTTTTGGTGATAATTTCATGAAAAAAAAAGATCATAGAATATACAAAAAATTATGAAATCTGCATATAACCGCATTTATTTGAAGAAATTGATACGAAAGTTTCGTAGATTTAATGATTAGTTGAACTTATAAACTTTACAACTTTATAGACTTTTTTAAACTCCTATTTTTATTACATTCGCTAAAATATCCTCAGAACATTTAGAATAATTATTTTAGTTAGATTAATTAGAATCTTCGTCCCCAAATCTAATACAATGGAAGTGCGGGTCAGAGTTCTACTTCAATCTTCTATTTCTGTTTGACAGACCTATGTATTCTTAACAAAAATTTTTATCATAAGGCCATGCAATCTTATTTACAAGATCTATAAAAATTTTTTATGTTTTTATGTATAAAATTTTTGAGTCGGGTTTGTGAAGTAATAATTTTTGAAATGAACTAAGAGATAAATCATCAGGTTGGCTGTTCGAAGAGCGGCATGGATAGTAACCATTAAATTGCTATATCTTTGTAGAATTTATTCAAACTCCAGTATCTACTTCATAGCATATTCTGAATATTTTAGTATACTCTTATTTTTCTTCAGACTTTCAATTCAAATAGACTAGTAAAAAACAGCCAGTCTATTAGTATATTAAATTGGCCTAATATTCTTTTTTCTAATGATTCTAACAGCCTAATTGGTGGTACTTCCACTCAAAGGTTCTTGCCTTTTCAGATACTAGGCATTAGTATCTGTTTTTTAGCCTTTACAGTTACTATAACACAGGTGAAAAATCCAAATTTTGTTAACTGTAGATTTTGAATTTACAACCTACTACTTGGGAGGTTGACAACTTATTCACTTTACTAAGTCATCATACCCTTATTCTTAGATCTTAATCTGATTGAATTAGCTTTTCATATATAAAAAGTTATTTAAAATGATATTAGTATTTTGTAGAAAATTGTTCAAATTCAACATATTAGTTTCATGCTCTCAAATTACTTACTCAATTTCTGGTAATTTTTTTAATGCAGCATGTTATAGGTTTTGCATACCAACTTTGTACGAATTTGTCTGTCAGTTTGGTATGCAAAACCTGTATAAATAAATATTTAACTTACTATTTATTATGTGATAATGTAGAAATTATATATTGTACTTTGCAGCATATTCACTAAAAATTTGATATACATCAATAAAATGCTTACTTTATATTTATTAAAAATTTTCTTCTAAAAATTTCAAAAGTAATTATACAGAAATTTTTTGTTGCTTAAATTTTAATAAACATTTCTGATAATAGTCTTTAGTACCTTCACTTTCATCTATATTTTTCAAGAAATTTTCAATAGTAGGCATTGTTTTGCTAAGCAATATAAGAACGTCCAGTAAACTTGTAAAAAATGGTAATATTGGGTTAGAATTTATTGTTTTTCCCATCAGGAAAAAGTAATTATTATATTTAATCGCTTTTTTTATATTGGATTTAAAAAAAAAACGCTATTTAAAATCTTCCCTGCCGGGATTATGCTTTGCAAGCAAGTTTGGCTAACTTAGATGTAAACTATAAATTAGAAACGGTCATATTATTAATTGCTTCAGCATCGTCCATAGAGTATTGATTTGAAGTATCGTGAAGGTCAAAATTGACATCTTTTGGGATGTTTTCTACATTTTCACCCCTATCTTCCTCTGAAATATCAGATAATTCATCTTCGTGTTCTTCTTTGTGTTTCAACCAAACTTCGGGATCTTCGGCATTTTTAGTTGCTTCTTCATACCATTCTTCTAATTTTATTCCATTCAAAAAAATTACAGCAATCATTGAAACATCGTCAATACAATATCCTGACAACGAAATCAGATCGCATAATTTCAGTATATCTTCAACGGCCAATTCAAGTGGATTTTTTGAATTTATATGTCTTTTGATGAAACTTAATAAAACTTCAACTGGTGTTCTTTTGTATGAATTGAGATGATTTGTGATGCCTTACGTAAAAATTCAATGAGTATTTGCCAAATTCAAATAATTTTAACAGTTAATTAAGAGCATATTTACCGTCTGAGCAAAAAACAAGCAAGTTTAATTCATCAACATTATAAATTTTTTTAGCAAATTCAGGTTCAGCTAACAAACTTTCGGTGCCTTTTCTTTAATATAAAAATCGCCAAATGCACGTGTGTACTGCATTCCAGATGCGTTGTCTAATTCCCAAGATTTTTCATTTCTTCCAGGCGCTAATCTGCTTATGGAATAACCAACACTATTTTTTTCTTTCTTTTGTTTTCTTAATCTTAAAATCTCGGCTAATAAAAAAATAAAGATAAACTTTTAATACTAAAAATAAATTTACTATTACTCTAATTACCTCTATTATGCAAATCATGATCTTTCGTGATTTTAGCAGAAAATTCTTTGTCTGATGAAATAAAACCAGGTGAATCTCCAATATAGGCCTAATTAAAAAAAAATTAAAGTTAGTAAGCTTAATTCGAGAAATACCACAAAATTGTCTTTTAATCTGAGTAGTATACTTTACAACGTATAATTTTCCTGAAGGTGTTAGTACTGCTATTGTTGTTGTAGCACCGGCATCCTTGGCGGCTTGAGAAAAATCTACTTTTTTTTTATAAAAAGTTATTGTCAAGAAAAGATGAATTGCCCGTAGCGAGAATAACAAAACCTGATTTTAAAAGTTCTTCTGTTTTTTTAAATCCTTGTTTAATGGCGTCTTCAATTTTTCCTTTATTTTCCTGCTTAGGAAGATTTTCAACAATGTTTTCTGGTAGTTTTACTGAACACACTCCTGCAACTTTAAGAGCACCATTTACTATACAAATAAAACAAAAAGATCTAAATTTGAAAAAAGTGATGCGGTTCAAATGAAATCTATAATTTTTTCATGCCTCCGTGTCCATCGTGTACACCAAAAAAATAGTATCCGTTAATAAAATACACTTTAATTACATCTTCAGTTTCTTTTTTAAGAAAAAAATAATTAGTTGTGATCAAAAATAATACTTGAAATAACATTATGGAGGTACGTTACCATTATTAAATTTTCTTTGCTTTGGATAATACCCATTTTTTTCAAGTGTTATAACGGTAAGTTTAGGAGAGAAATCCCAATATTCAATTTTAGAAAACTCATCCAATTTTTTAGTCTCATTTTTTTTCATGATTTTAGAAAAGAGAAATTGCTTTTACTTTTAAATCTAAAGATCCAACAAGAAAAAAAGAGATAAAATCCTGTCTAGACACAGGAAAAACTCAGTACTAAAAAAAACTCAGCATTTTGAAATAAAAAGGATAAAGTTTAATTTACAATTTATTCCCAAAAAATTTAGACAATCAGTAACGGTAATACGTTTATTTTGATCTTTTAGTATAATTTAAAAAAAAACAATAACTTTATTTTTTGATTATGTGCGCCGAGATAAATCTCTCTCTTCGGGCTACCAGAAATTAGCCTCATTTAGTTGTTAATTTTCCTTGAGGTCACATTATCAAATTAGTCAAATTTATAGAGCTTAAGAAATATTATAGTACACTTTTAAATTCCTGGTAAGGATTTAATGAATGTTCATTAATATATATCATAATTCTTAATAAATGATTGTTGTATTTAAATATTCTGGCTAATGATTATTTCGTACGACTAAACATGCAATTAAATCACTTTCAATATAAATTAGTAATATAGATATTGTGTAATAGAATAGATTAAGTTTATTGAACTGCTTCACGCATTATCATTTTCTCAACGATACTTTTCAGACTGAAACCAATAAACGAGCCGCTCCTTCGTACGTTACGTCTTACCCGTGCACCTTGTTTTTTCGATTGAATGATACAATATTACTATATGTTTCAATTCAAAGTTTCTATTTTGTCAAAACAATAGGATAATTGTTGTTAAAAGTATCTATTATTTAAACGATAGGAAAATCACTAATCTAAATTTTCAATTAAATAGTTTTAAAATAAACTGCAAACAAACAATATAAATATAAGGTAATAATTAACAAGTCAAAAAAAGATGGATTTTTTTTTCATTTTATTCGCTGTTCTCATTATTATAATTGTATTTTTATATCGTTACTTTGTTAATCAAGTAAGACCAAGAGATTACAAAAAATTTCAAAATATTATTGACAAAAATAAAAAAAACTGATGCTTTCATTATTTCTTATAAACAATCGGTTGAGTTTTTTTGGCAACTTAATACTAATAAGAGACACGAAATTGGATATTTAGACGACTGGACTTGCATTTACAATAAAGTACTTGGCGGTAAAATTTCATTTGAGAATTGTATCGAATTAAAATTTATTTGGATTATTGGCGAGCTTCTTGTGACACCCATAAACTTTGGTTTAAATCAGGACTTTATCTCAGAAATTGATATATCAGATTGTTCAATAAACTGTTTAGATATATCAACATGTCATAATTTGAAAAAATTACAATTTAGACAAAGTTATCGATGTGAATTACAAATTGTTCTTTTCCAAAACAATAAAATTGAATTTTTTATTTTACGAAATGTCAAATTACAAGATTTAGAATTCGTAGCAATTCTTAAACCTTCTTCTTTAGAAACTTTCCATCTTGTAATTTAATTTTATTAAAAATTTTAAGGAATTAAAGGCGCTTTATTTTTATAATTGCGAGTCTATTGAAGGTAGTCTTGTTCATATTAAGGATATGAGAAAGTTGAAAGTATTGTCTATTACATCTACAAAGATTAACGAAGGTTACGAATATTTACCACAGAGTTTGGAAACACTTTATTGTAACGACACTAAAATTTATAAAGAATTAAAAAAATTAAACCCACAAAATAATCTTGAAGATCATCAACTTCATAAAATTTTACATTAGGAAAAATAGTATTTGGAAAAATTTATCTATTGATCCACATTCTCTTATGTAAGATTTGGCAATAAAGAATGTATACGATAAATGAGTGATGATGTTATTATGTATTATGGTTTTTATTAAAGCCAATATTTTTGAAATTATTAAATTGTTAATTCTTAAAAAAAAATACATTTTCATTTTTAAAAAGTCCTTTTTTATTCTTTTTTAAGAATTCCCGATCTTGATTTTCATCTTAGGATAAGTATCGTGGGATTAATTAATATCGTATCAATACTAAACTCTATGTTTATATAGTTATTTACTCTTAGTACATGTAACCTCTTCACGGCCTTCACTATACTACGTCTCCAACCTCTCTCCTTCAAGGTACTACCACGGTAAATTCTCTGTCCCAGATAATTTATTTAAGTACTAACTGAAGAAGAGGTTCAATTTACTTGCACTGCCGTGGAGGTCTTGTATTACTGTCACGGATCTTTTGACCTATTTTGATATGAAATTTTAATATTATCAGAAAAATCAATTGCAGTTACTTATAAAAAACAAAATAGCGTAATTCAATAAATCGGCGGCTAAGTTGAAATATTAGATTTGGCTGGTTTGTTTATCCTTAGGTAAGTACTAATCTTTTAAGTCTTTTCTTCAATCTATTCTTCTATTAACCTTTGCTTCCTCTTGTCTTCTTTCTACTTCCTCAACCTGGGGTTACGATACGTCGAATCGGAGTTGCAAATGCGGTTTAGTGCTTTATGGACGAACGATTATATGGGATTAACGATAGTTTATTAGTTCGGGTTGGGGTATAGTTTTACTTTAATTAGAGTTGGATGCTTTAGTTTTATTTAAGCAAATGTATTTACTTGGGGGTATCGCAATTACTTTTCCCACTGGGCGGAAAGCCCTTTATTTATAATATGCCTATTTACATTATATCCCCTTAAGACCCTTTTCCCTATAATAACAAAAACCGAATGTTCTATCTACCAGAAGTAATAAAAGTAAGAAAAGTAATAAGAAAGAAAAGTAAGATTTCTCTTACTTTTCATGTGACAAATTAATTGGGTAGGCGACGGTAAATATAATTGTCACGCTTTTGTATCAGTGTGTGATTATAAAGTAGTCTAACGTTCTTATTCAGTTCATTTCCCGACGGCCTCCAGAGGCCACGAACCTAGCATGACCACCAAAATCAGTTACGTAATTGCTGTTTAAAATCATTTTCCGAAATATAATGATGCAATTGTATATTAGTCATTTATGACGATATCTGTTTATAATATAGTACTGTAACAATGATTATTTAAAATTTTCTTACCAAATATTTCGTGAAAATTTAATTAATGGAAGCCGATCATTCAACCCAATCAAACTCAAAAAAATGTCCATCCTGTCGAAAAATAAAACAAAATAATGAGTTTGAAAATAATAAAAACATGTATCGAATGCTTAACTCGTATAAATCAAGGAAAAAAACGAAAACATCAAGAGCAAAATACGGATGATATTCATGAAATGCAAGAGAATGCTATAGAACTTGAAGATCTTGAAGATGTAGTTTATAACAAACTTATGGATAATACTGAAGAAAATGCTCGATTGGATCTTTATATAACTATTAGTCTTTCAGATTGTATTGACAAATTAAGAAGCAACATTGATGAATCACATGCCAACTTAATAGCAACTGAAATTGTAAAGCTCTGTGAGAAAGGCGACGGATACTCTTATATTTATCATAAGAAGTATTATAATAAACAAACAAAAAGCACAACCTTCACTTATTGGTGCAATTGCCGCCAAGAGTTAAAAAAAAAAACAACAAAAGTTTTAGATAGTTCTAAGCAACGAAATACAGAGTCACGATTGGACCGTTATGATTGTAAAGGTGCTATTCTTGTTAGAGTTGATTACAAAATAAATTAGCATCAGTAACATTAGATCATATTTATTTACACCCACGGCCACAACACATAGGCATTACTGATGAGATTAAAAAATATATTAAAGAAAACTTAGTTTATTCAGCACCTGAGTTATATAAACAAATTATTCTTGAAAAGTTAAATGGTTATGAATTATTTACCGTTGATCAGGCATATTATTGGTGGGCATATCATGCTGTTACGAAATATAAGCGAGCAAATAACCAACTTCAGTCAGCCAAACTACTATTAAACGAAAAAAATTATAAAATTATCTTAGAAATAGATGATCCAATAGAAGCATTTGCTTTCATAACACCATTTATCACCAATTTGCCTAAAATGGCTTTTGACGTTTTACTTGTTGATGCCACCTATAATACAACTAAACTTAAGCATGAGCTTTATTCAATTCTAACAGTTCTTGATGGTACGGGGTTTCCAATAAGCTATCTGTATATTTCAAGTGGCAAGAATCGTGATATACGTATGATTCTGACAAAATGGTTTAAAGCCATCTCAAATATGAACATTAACAATGTAAAAATATTACTGTCTGATAAAGATTTCTCACAGATCTTTAGTGCACAAGCTATTTGGAAGGATATTAAAGTGCAATTATGTAAATGGCATGTTAAACGTGCCATAGAGCAAAAACTTTCTTCAACTATAAAAGGAATAAATATCTGTTATGATGCAAATAAGGCATATAATGAATGTCCTGTGATCGATCCTATGTGGAATGAAGATTTTTTTCGACATACGAATACAAATACAGCTTTATGTAATAAGGTTTTTCTTAAGGTTGAATTAAGAAAAGATATATTAAATTTTATAGAAACTCATTTTCATCGTCATATGTTGATACCTACTGCCGATAAAGAGTTCATTACATCACCTCATAAAATATGGATGCGGTCTGTTTGTGAAATGTTCAACTATTGTCATCACAAAAACTTGTTACATGTATGGTCATATTTATGGAACGAATGGTATAGATGGTCACTTTGGGTACTATCTGCCTTACTAGAAATTTCAGTAATTCACACAACAATGATTATTGAGTCTCATTGGCGTATTTTAAAAAGAGACTATATAAGTTTAATCAGCCTCGCATTGACCTTGTTTGTTATATTTTAGCTGAAAAATTATTAGCTATGCAGTTACAACGATATCAATTACTCTTACATGAAAGAATATTACCATCTTGGCGTGATGACTTTAAAAATGAATGGCAAAAACTTGCTATGCATTCAATTAAAAGTACATACAAGTATCTAACAAGTAATGAGCATTGGATATGCTCTTGTCCCTATTTTTTAAAGAACAGATTTTACTTGTGTAAACATCTTGTTAATCCTTTAGAAAACATGCCCGCTTCATTTTTTAGAAAGGTTTGATATATTTATTTATATTGTATTTTTGAAAACATATATATATTTATTAATTTTTAATTAAGGTTCAACGAAATTCAAATTATTCATTAATTGAAGAAGCTGAAAAAACGATATGGGAGAATATCCGAATATCATCTGATCTTGTGCAACTTTCTTCAACGATAACAATTAATTCAACTATTTTTGACAATAATATTGCAGAATATGACGAATTAAATGATGATGAAACCGAATTGGAAATTATCAATCAATATAAAAAAACTCTTCATGAGGTATAGCTTATTTATTATTTTTATTGAATTAATTATATAGCATAATAAATAAAAGTACTATCAATGTTACTCTAATATAGACGCTTAATCTTCTTGAAAAGTCTTATAACCTTCCACAGCAAAGAAAATGGTTGAAGAATATTGAATCAAATTTCAAGCCAATTCAAAAGATGGTGGACGATATAAAAAATCTGAACCAAGCCAAAAACCTGGAATAAACGAAACAAGAATACTTTTTATTGGTAGCAAATTCAAAATAAATATCTTATGTTGTAGTATGTTAGATAACAAGGTTCATCGAATAGTTTCGAATGAACATAGCTTTGTTCTTTTTATGCAATAAAAATTTTATAATTAAAATTTTATCGCTATAATATCTTATGTAATACGTATAAGTTTTATAATAAACGTTTTTATAATAAAAAATTTAAATTTTATCATTATAATATCTTACGCAATATAAGTTTTATAATAAAAATTTTAAATTTTATCATTATAATATAATATGATAAAAATGCGCTGGGTTACAAGATCTCAGATTTTAAACAGCGATTACGTAACTAATTTTGGTGGTAATGCTAGGGGGTTGTTTCCAATGGCCGTAGGAGTTCAATTTATCCTGATAATGTCACATGTTCAATTATGAGTTAAAAGCTTACCGAATTACGTATCGATATCGACATTAACATTATAGCACTTGAATACGAGAATATTTATTTTTTAATACGTGTTATTCTCATCCCACAATCTTTTACGTGAAAAATTTAAATATTTTAAATTACTGATTCATTAAAAATATCCTTATATGTGCACACTTAAAAATAAGATATTTGTAAAAATTTGTTCATGCAGACAAAATGTAAAATTTTTAATAAATAAAATTAGTAATAAATCTTAGTGATGCAAAAAAAAGGAATTTATTTTTCTTCAGTATTGGCCAAAAGGCCATCCAAATCAATAATTAGATACTTGATCATTGAGGAAATTAACAAGAAAAAAAAGTATAAATGGGACTAGTGTTCATGCTAGGTTTGTGGTTTATAAGTTCGCATCTAAATTCTGATTAAAAAAACCTTTGATGGAAAAAAGGCATATTACATTACCCGGAAATTTTGAGCCCTGCTCCTAATTGTTAGCAAATAGCAATATTTACTAAAAGGTTACCAGTATTATTGGGCTGTATGGGCTTTTTTATTGGGCCCAAATCTGGCCTGGTATTTTAGCGGGCCCGGCCCAAGCCCGGCCCAAATAATGATGGGCTCAAAAATATAGGCCCGAACTGAGCCCAAGCCCGGCCCAGCCTGTAAATTTTCAGGTTTAGCCCAACCCTGTCATCACGTGATTTCACAGACCTATGGGTCCGTGAGATCATTAATTCAAGATTACGAAGTCGAGTTTATAAGAACTTG